ATCAAGCTGGTAACGCTGGTACAAAGTACTGGAAGGAACAGTGCATTTGAGTCTCATGTTAAGAATTTGAGTTTGACTCTGCTACTTGACAATTTGTAGCAAGTCTTAAAGCCCTGTGTCTATTTTTTTTGAACAATGCTTGTTTCACAAAGTTGTGAAAACAAAATGAAATAATACAAATATTAAGGTGCCATAAATAATGCTCATAATTCTACTAATAATAAAACATGTATTTTGAGTTGTTTTTTCCCAGTAGTGACAAATTGCTATTAATCAACTACTTTCTTATCTGGCCCCCAATACAGCTCAGAGGTTTTGTTGTTGCTATTATATGTATAGTTAATGTACAGTCATATTTTTATAAATTGGTATATAGTAAGTACATGTATAAACAGATACATATTATATACCGTATTTGCCGGAGTATAAGACGACTGGGCGTATAAGACGACCCCCTAACATTTCCACTCAAAATACAGAGTTTGTTATATACTCGCCATATAAGACTACCCCCTCTTCCGCACACCTTCCACACACCAAATAAAAGGTAAAACAATATCAGATTTGATTTGGCCCACTGAAGTGCAAACAAGCGTATTGTATTTCGTGTCACCACATAACCGTTTTGGCGATGTTGAGCCACCATGTCTGCTACATGTTTTTCGAGTTCTGGCCAGTGTGGGGTGCCTCTTCTTAATGCACACTTACCCCTTGGCATACTCTTTAATGCTTTCTCATTTGATTTCCAGTCCCGAACCATCTTTTCTGTTACTCCATATTGTCTTGCAGCAACACAATTATTATTTTCCTTAGCAAAGTTTATAACTTTCAGTTTAAAATTTGCATCATACTTCTTTCTTTTGGCTGGTGCCATGATAGGGATGATAGGGGTTTGACTGGTCGACATTTTCTATGCTGTACTGTACAATGGTGCAGTATTGTGGTTGGCTGTTGGCTGTATACAAAGCCTGATTTGATTGGTCCCTGCTCCCTGTTTGCCCGCCCTGTCACTATAGCAGTCTGGTCCACCCTTGCATCAGCATCTCCCTGGGACCTCACTAGTGCGCAAGTGCGAGCACTTCAACATTCTAACAGGCACCATGATAGCGCAAAATCGCGAATCTTCAATGCATATGTAAAGAAATATACGGTAACCTGAATTTACCACACTCGCAAAATCGCACACAGCCGACCATACACCCAGCAGCGCTGCTGATGCCTGAACGGTATGTGGAATGAAGTGGGCGGGCATCGGGAGGCCACTATGGCACGGGGCAAGCACTATGGGCAGTCTATCTGAAGTGTACCTGGCGTATAAGACGACCCCCCACTTGGAGGCATATTTTTCAGGGCCAAAAAATCGTCTTATACGCCGGCAAATACGGTAGCCACAAATATATTTAAATGTGTTCATATATGCATACATTTTTCAAGAGAAATTCAGAAGCCACCAATCTAATAGGCAAAATTTCATCTATTTTAGGGATAGACAGTGGACGAAAAGGGTCCTACGGAAAGTAACCTCCCAAGGCTATCTGATCAAATCCCTAACTGGGCAGGTCATGGTGGGTAGTCATGCCCCAGGCATGTAACTTCTTAGTAAAAGGTTTACCTTTGCCCTAAGCCAGCCCTGTCCATTGTTCTTGTCCATCTAGGTGAACACACCTTTGAAATAAGTGTAAACACCTCAAGAGGGCACATAACCTCAACTCTCCTGTAATTCAATCCCACCTCGCTTTCTCCCACTTTTGTGTAATCTTCCTTACATTCCCTCAATTTCAAATGCATAAAAGAAACTGCAAAATTGTCAATCTCTGGAGTATTTGAGATCTTGCTTCCCAACAATTGTCAATTTGGCTCAAACGAAATTTCATAAACTGTTTCTACAGGTTCAGACGTTTCTTACATCAATAAGACATTGGACAAAACCTCACAGGACTGTATGTTATATCTGTATTTCTAGTTAAATAATGATGGAAATGACAGGAGCTTCACAGCAATGTTCATCCTCACGTTTCAGACAAACATGTACCTGCATATAAATTCTTACTATTCTATAGGGACATGAGTAACACTTTTAACAGAAATTTGCAGTTCAATAACAGCAGCAAATTGTTCATTCTAAAACATGATTCTAACAAAAGCATACTTACCATATGCTTCTCCCAAAAGTATTTATTAGCTATAAGTAGCAGCAAACATAAGAATTGTAGTACTAAAACTCCTCTCCTTTTACTTTTTACTCAATCTATCTTTTTTAATACAGGTTTCATCATAAATAAAAATGAAACTTACAAATCAAGAAATCTTAAAACAGAAATTTTCATGTTTGTTTTAACATCTTTGAGTTGCCTAGGCAGCAAATTTAGGAATGCTCATGAATTCTACTGGATATTAGTGCTAATTATTAGTGTGCACTTACAATTATGCCCTTCCATCCAAGTACTTCAAAGAGCTTATGAAGCATTAATTTGTTATTTCTTATAACATCTCTGAGAAGCAGGCTGGTAGGAAGTTATTATCTCTATCTTAGTCAAAGAAACTAGGTCTCAGAGAGGGTAAGTGACTTTGCTAGGGTCATACAATAAACAATGAACAAAAAAGACTCCAGATCATTGTTCTCATTTCTTGTTCAGTATATTATAGTATAATATACCTAAATGTATTTCTATTCTAGAAAAATTGAGAATATATTTGAATAATCTAAAAACTAAAGATCTTTGAGTTACTCATTTTTTGTGTTCAAAAATCCTGTTCTATAGGAATATAGAATAAAAACGAATAGTCTTTGATAATATAGCTATTATTTATAGGGCTTTTGCTATTTGTGGTTTTTTGAAATGTCTGCTCAAAATCATGCATTCTATTTCTGAATGCTTTATGCCAGGTTAGCATAGCTGTGAACAACCAAGACACAGCTGAGACAGACTGACAAATGAATTTCAAGTTGTCTTTCATTGTGTTCCCATTACTCATTCTTGAAGTCATCCTCCTTCTAGTCCATTTAGCAGATATTTGCAGGACCTACCATCTTCAATCCTTCATCTGTGGCCAACCTGTCTACTGTCAATGATTAAACTTTAGAAAATTTTTTATTAAAATAACATTTCATTTTATGAATTTATGATGCTATACTATTTACCACTGTCATATTCAATTCTCTGTAAGCCTAACCTTTATGATCCTTAGACTATTAGCATTTGAGTACTAGCCTATGGAGGGGCATATATCACCACATGGGGTTTTTAAAAAATGTAATATTTAAGCAATTTTCCCAAGAAACGGTAGGGAGAAAGGAGACGTGGCTTTGAAACTGCTCAATGAAGTGAGACTGCGCGGTCTGCCCGGATACGGTAATACAAACCTGGAGTGTTTCTCAATTCAGCCTAGACCCTCCCCAGAGCTCTAGATCCATATAACAACTGCCATTAGACAGCATCAGTACTTCAAATTCACCAGGTCCAAAATGGCACTCATTGTCTGCACCCCCTCACCCACCCCATCCCAATCCTTGCTTATCTCATTTGATAAAATCTACCCTAATCCTCCTCAAAAAGCAAAACATGGCATCATTGCTACTCCCCTTCTCTTATCCAGCACCTGACCCCCCATCAATTATCAAAATCAGTTGATTTGGCCTCCTGAATATTTTAGGAATCCATTTTTGGATGCTCATTGCCACTCGCCTAACAGTCCTTTTATCCTTTTTTCTTTTCTGTAATGGCTTGCCTACAAGCTCTCTGCTTGCCGTGCTCCTCCCAACTAATCTGCCCTCCACCTAGTTTAAATTGTACAACTATCCAGGGTCATTACTCCACTCTAGTCATTGCCTCACCATTATTAGAAAGATGGTTCTCATGATCTGGCTCCTGTCTGCTTCTCCAGCCTCATCTTTTTCAGCAACTCAGGCTTGAACTTTTAAGTTCTGTAATCACCACTCAGATTTTTCTGCACACATTATTTGTCCCTGTGCCGCATGGCCTTTCTGTTAGAATATGGATTTGCCATCCCATCCCCTATTTTTGTGCTGGGAAACCGCTATTTATCTTTAAAATCTAACGCAGAGTTAGCAACGTCATCAATTCTTTCCTCTGTATACCTTTATATACCATATTCGCAATCATAATTATATGCTTTCATGTCTGTCTACCCACTAGACCGGGCATTCCCTGAATGGGTTGTGCAAAGCACGGGAGCTGGTACTCAATTTGGGGGCGGAGGGAGATGAGAGAATGTCGAGATAAGGCTCTGTAGCTGCTAACAAATGTTAGGCAAACGATCTATTTCAAATCTGTGAAAGCATTTAAATGAAGCAACCGATTTCTGATAACTACTTCTAACTTAAGCTACCAAATCAGAGGGTGGGGCGGCAGAATGATCTCAACACCACATCAGACCTGCAGTGTCGTAGGGGGATCGAGACCCTCAGAAAAGGCTCCAGACCATCCGGCGGAGGCGAGTTCGCCAGGGATCAGCAGTTAAGACATAAGGCCCGGGGCAGCCACCGAGACCCTCCAGCCAGGGCAGGCGACTGACCAATCTCCTAGGACTCGGCCGGCGACCAACCACATCGCTGGCTCCACTCCAGGAAACCCCGGCAGTAAGACAGAGCGGCCTCCATACTAGGATGCCTGGGGAGAAGGGGCTGCCCCCTAAAAGCAAAATGGCGGCCTTCGGTCTCCCCCTCCTCCCCTCAAGAACCCCCCTTGATCCTCTAGAACTAGAGAGGCAAGGACGTCGTGGCGCCGACGCCGAGATCCGGGGACCTCCACGAGGCCGCGACCACTCCCAGGCCCCCGGGAGGTGACTTCCCCTCGTCGGGCGCAGGCAGCTGGGGGTAGGAACGCCCGAAAGGCAGCGCAGCCCGCCCTCCGTACGCAAAGGGTGGACACGGTAGAGCCCGCGCCCTTCCAGCCATTGTTCTCCAGCCTAGGCTCCCAATACCCTACTCTCTGTCCTAGGACAGGAAGTCCCTCCCCCTCCGGCTCCGCCCCGCTCACCAGAGCCCCGGAAGTGATCTGCGGCGGCTGCTGCAGAGCAGTGGCGAGGAGGGTGGAACTCCCTGGAGCCGAGCGCGCGAAGTCCTCCTCCTCCGCCTCCTCCTCCTCCTCCTCCTCCTTCTGCCGCCCAGGCTCTGCTGCCGCCCGTCGGACTCCTCCTTCTGCCGCTCCCGGCGCGGAGCCTCCCGGAAAAGGGCCGAGCACTCTCCGGCCGGAGCCAGCTCAGCCGCGGCTTCCGGAGCCCGCGAGGCGGTGGACTGGTTTGCGGTGCAGGTGAGCGATGCCCGCGCGGGCCGCTGCGGGAGCGGTGGGGGCCTCCGAAGAGGGTGGCGGCGGGGGTGTGTACTGGCGGCGGCGGGCGGAGGCCCAAGCTCAGGGCCGGCCGCCGAGATTGCACATCCCGTGTTCTGCGCGAAACGAGCTGCAGGATGAGCTGGAATTCCCGGCGCCGTGTTCGCCGCCGTGCGGGCGAGTGCACCCCGGAGGGTGGGAGGCTGCGGCGAGGTCCCCCGCGCCCGGCACCCGCTCCGGCTTGGCCTGGTTGGAAGGTCACGCCGCATCTCTGGCCCTAGCGCGTAGGGTCTGGGCGGTGCCCGCGACCTGGGGGACCCTCCGCCACCGTGCTTCACTCCGCCCCTCTCTCCTCTTTCCTTTCCACTCATTGCCTGTGCTAGAGCAGTTGCTTTTTAAGCATCCCCGCCAAGGTTTTGTGCCGGTTGAAGGAATGGCTTTTTCAAACTGAAGTCATCAGATTTTCCGCACTGAACCGAATAGCCAGCCCTGCGCTCTTGCACAGTTTTGGCCCATATTCGGGTAACCCAGCCTCTAAAACGGGGAAGAATATAGATGTTTTGAGTGAGGGAATGTTGCTCCTTGGTTTCATCCTAAAGGTTTTCAGAAGTGGAAGACGTGGTTTGTACGCGTTAGCCTGGGTATGTGTGTGCAAGTGGGTGGGGATGACCACGCAGAGAGGTGGCAGTGTTGTTTCAAGGTTTAGAGAGAATTAAGGAGTTAACAGACCTTTGCTCGGAAACCAGAATGTCTCGACTTGTGTGAGCTCATCCAAGTGTCATTGAGGTTGTGTGAGAACTCCAGTGCCACGCCCTACTGGAGTGTCAAGCGGAAAAGCACCTAATTTACAAATTGTGTTTGGTGGTGGTGGTGATGGGGAAAACCTTTATAAAACATGTCATAAGTTAACTCTGGTCTTGAAAGTAAATTGCAACTTTAATCATGTTCCCAAAAAATTGGATAACAAATTTCATTAGTAAACTCACAGTAGTAAGGCATTCCATTTAGCTTATGTTTACTAATACATTTAAATGTATCTTATTAGGTTATATTTTTATGTTTATTAATACAATATTATAAAATGACTGTGACTCTAAAGTCATTATTTTTAGACTTTGAATTTCTTCAGGGCATAAGCCATGTCTTACTCATCCCTGTGTTTACATAAGATGTGGCTTAGAATATAGAAGTTATTCATTCTTTCTTCACTGAATGAATGAATGTGTAGGTGATCTCACAGTTGCCTTCCAGGAGTCATTTATTTTGGGTTAGGTTTTTTGTTTCTTTCTTTGTTTGTGTTTTTGTTCCAGTTTGTTGATACATACAGACTGTGTTCTTTAGCATGGTCAAAGAACAATTCAAGAAGAATCCTCGACTGTCCTCTCAAAACATTGTCCTCACCTGAAAGATGAAAAGTATATATGGGTTACTGTGATTGGGGATTATAGTAACTTGTATTCCATTGTTAAATGTTTACCACTGAGCATGTTTGTCCAAGGTTATCAAGAGGTTTCCTGTTGATAGTAGGTTTAAATTTGGAGCTGATAACCATACCCTATCTTAATCAAAAAGAGGAAATTGGAAGTTACCACTGTTTGGGAAACGGGGTGCATCACAGAATTACTTATAGTGGCTCATTCTTTCCATGGATACATGAACTCCTCTGACATTCTGGTATGTATGTCCTTGGCATGGTTTATCCACCAACAGCCACTTTCACATTTCTTTTCAGAGATTCAGATGGTGTTCTTCTGGTGTGTCTGCTGAGTGTGCTTTCATCTGTATCTATTTTGAAGCAGCTCTTCATACAACTCTGTCTTCACAGGGCTTTCAGGGGGAAAAACGGCTAATTATAGGAAAGAATCTCGTATACCGTTGTGTGGGGGATAATTTTTGTCTATAGATGGTTGGGCTATTTTCACTTAATGGCGGTCCAAATAAAAAAGTGCTGATATCTTCTTTCCTTTCCAAATGTCTGGTGGTGGTCCTGCACTGGTTTTGCGAGCTCAGCTTTTACAGAACGTAAATACCTAAGTGTATCAGTATTGCTTCTTGCATATGTGTGTGTTAGTATATATATGTGCTTGGAACCCTTACTAGATCGGTGGCAAGAACAGTCACTTTTAAAATACTTGAATAACATCCAAATTCCTTTTATCCTTAATCTCATGTACAAAACCTTCAAGATCTACGCTTTCCTTAATGTACATGCTTTCCATTGTTTTATAAAATGTTTTCATTCTTAGACACTAAGGAGCCGGAAGCCTGCAGTTTATCTCATTGACATTACCACTGTACAGAGGTCAGATTTCCCTTTTTTAATCCATCAACCCTCCTGATAGTAACAGTCCTCATACATTGATTGCCTGCCATGCACTGTGATAAGAGCTTTACTTATATTATTTGTAATCTCTGCAATACTTCTGCAAGGTAGGTAGTTTTCCCACACTTTACTAAGGCTAAGTGAAGTACTTTGCGGGAGGCTAGGCAGCTGGTGTGTAGTAAAGTCTGGATTTGAAAGTAATGATTTCTGAAAGCATTCGGTATTGCATTTAATCCTAAAAGGCTGAGGAAAATGAGATTTTGACTGATCTGAGCTTTAGGAAAGTGAAGATACTGAGCTCAGCACTGTTGATTATCAAGTGGGGCCTGAGGTTGCTAGTGACAGTCGCCAGGTGGTCTCAGGCAGTAGCCAGTCTTGTATTTATCTCCAGTGTGCCTATAAATACAGTCTTATGGGTGCTGTGATTAAAAAAAAAAAAAAGGTTGGGCATTGTTCCTGTAAGTGTCCTAGAAAAGGAGTGTGTTAGGAACTCAACTCTGGTGTTTGATGACTGCTTTTTGCCTCTGACATATTTGAGATTTGAGAGAACTGTTGGAAACCTAGTTGTAGTGACCTTTCCTGAAAGCATGTTGTTGTTTTTCTTTCTTTCACTAAAACAGCGGAGAGGTTGTGGGGGAGTGGAAAAATGGTAAAAGAAGCAAAGGTGAACTGGGTCTGTTTTTACCATTTCACACCATATATCAAAATTCTCTTTGGGTTTAATATGGAGCCTTAAAGAAGGCAGAACTCTTATAAGGGTCTAATTGCTATTCAGTGCTAGAAGAATTCTCTGCACTTTCCAAGCCTGTGCAGTTTTGTTTTATTTTTCTTTTAACACTTTCAAATGGGCTTAATTTGAAGGATGTGTTCATCTCTTGGTTTTAAAACAGCATATAGCTATATAAAAAACATAGCTTTAAAAACCAGGCTCATTAGCCCTCATTAGTAACAGTTATTCTTTGTTTTTCTCTTTAGCTCTAAGACACCTTTCTTATTCCCTTATTTTACGCGTAAGGATTTGGTTATAATATATTGGGTTGTCGGAAAAGTCATGACACATTTTTGCACCGAAAAACAGAAACTATACATCATGACTTTTCCGACAACCCAATAGAAGAAATTAAATTAAAGCTCTGAGTTTTAAAAATATTTGTGAGCAAATTTTAGAAAATTATGCCTGAAGGTGAAGACTTGCTTCTTCAATATCAAGAGGGTAGTCCGTACAAGCCAAAAAAGCAAACTTCTGTAAAATACTGATACTATTCTTAACAGCTAGTCCTGGATGACATGCAGTAGACATAATGCTTGACACAGTAGTGTCTTTGAAGTGTACGATCCAATTTCATTGCCAAATTCACTTATGGAAACTAAATATCAGGGTTTGACAGTGTCATTTTGAAGAATAAAACAGCAGGATTGCGAAATGACTTTTATTCCCAGATGCATTGTAACGATGGGGCACAGATCCCTAGTTTTCACAAAAATCATAGTTCTGGTCATCTAAACCACAGGATCTCTTCTGCTTTTTTTAAGCAGTTGAGCAGGAAATTGGAGGTTGCCACTCTGCTGAATAGTTGCAAGTGCTTTAGTTCAGATGCGCTGTCTAGGTCTGCTCTGGATTACTGCAGCAGCTGGTTAACCTCTGGCTGGCTCTCCCCTTCCCATCTTTGTCCACACTTGGTTAGAACAGTCGTGATCCTCCCCTACTTAAAACCCTTTTGTAGCTCCTTCTTGTCCATTAATAACATCCAAATTCCTTTTATCCTTAATCTCATGTACAAAACCTTCAAGATCTACTCCTTCCTTAACCCAATAGCCTCATCTCCTTCTAGTATACATCGTGCCAGCAATACTGAGCTTCTAGAATGCTAGCATTTTCTCAGTCCCCCGTTTCCTCTTCCTGGATTCTAGCCACTCCCTTCCCCAGTCTAGTATACTCCTACTGGTCCTTCAGAACTCAGCTTAGGTTATACCTTTTCAAAAATTGTATCTGGATTAGATTCTCTCTGTCAACCCCATCCCTCAAAAAAATCCCGAAAACAAAAAACAACCTTCAAGACTGGGCTGGTTGCTGCTTTTATGTGTTGCCATAAAGTCTATCATAGCATTTACTATCCTATGGACAGTGCCTTCGTTAGCCTGTTGTAAATTTCATTGACGACTATGCACAGTAACCTCATAACTACACACACACACATACACTCTTCACAGGCCTTTATCAAAAGTTCCCAAACTTTCTCAGTTCACAGCAGCCTTATTATGACAGTAATATTTTCATAGCATCCCAAAGAAACATGTAACAGCTTAATGCCTTAGATAGTTAGGTCCAAACAACTTAGCAAGTATTTACGTCCTAGCAATTTAGAAGGTATTTGAAAAAAAAAAAAAGATACACATTAATTAAATAACTTTCATTCTTAACTGCGTAGTACTCCATTGTATGTACCATGGCTTATTCAACCAATCTCCTATACTTGGACACTTAAGTAATTTCCAGTATTTTTCAACTACAAATGATGTTATAATGAAAATCTTTGCATATATGTATCTTTGTATTGTTGGAGGTATGTCTTCAAGATAAATATATGTATAGATTTGTTAGCTCTTGCCAAATTCCTCTCCCTGTACAGTTGTACTATTTTTTTCTTTTCTTTTTGTT